GGCACGGAACGGGCGGCACTGCCGCGACCTTGGCCGTGCCTGCCTTACCTTGTGCGGCCCCTTCCCCCCGGCCGCGCTGCGCCCGCCGTGTGCGCCTCAGCTCGGGGAAAACGGAAAAACTCCTTTCTCGGCCGTCGCTTTTGCAGGAGGGGTAGTTCGTTTTAGCGGGGTGTCTTACTGAGGGGTAACTGGTGGTTAAAGATGTCCTGTCCTGCTTGCTTAAGTGCCCGTGCTGCCTCCCTCAGTGCTCTGTCGCATTAATTTATGGAGTAATCTGCTCTTCACTATTACTGCGTTAACTTACGTTAACTTATGCAATAATAAGTTAGTTATCCATTAAATCCAGTTTGCTCTTCAGCGTGCTACGGGTGAGCTAGAAGTAACTCTCTCCCTTCAGACAGTGATGTAGGATTGAGGAAAAGATCATAGAATTAACAGTTCAGGGGTTGGAATGGAGCTTACAGATCATGCAATCCCACCCCCCTGCCCTGGGCAGGGACATCTCCCCACTAGACCAGAATGCTCAAGGCCTCATCCAGCCTGGCCTTGAACACTGCCAGGGCTGGGGCATTTACTACCTCCTTGGGCAACCTGTGCCAGTGTCTCACCACCCTCAGATCACTAATCTCACGCAATACTGACCTAGGGCCAGCGGGGCTGAGAGGAAGGAGAATGGGTGATTCATGGATTTTAAGTGAGGAGAGGATGTAGGCACATAAAAGTCACAAAAAGTGATATTCATCTCTCTCTGTGGAGCAAAGGAAGGAAGGGAGTATTCGGAGTGGCTGTTCCTGTACTGGCTTGGATAAGAAGAGAATAAAAGTAGGACATCCCACCAGAAAGTGCTTGGTAGGCTGAAGCACTGTGCTTTGTAGAGGACAGGGAATTGCTGAAGAGCTGAATGAGTGGATAAAGTCACAGGGATGACTGGGCGCAAATTGAAAGAGGGGAAATTTATGTATTCGGAATTATGGGACTTTAGTGCTTGGAGAGACACTGGCACAGGTTGCCCAGGAAAGTGGTGGCTGCCTTGACCCTGGCAGTGTTCAAAGCCAGGCTGGATGAAGTGGGGAGGTGTCCCTGCCCATGGCAGAGGAGGTTGGGGCTAGATGGTCTGTAAAGTCCATTCCAACCTCTGAAATTCTAAGATTTTATGGTGGATGGGGAAGAAGCTGTTCACATTTTGTAAAGGCAGGATTCATGCTTGTATATGGTAGAGAAGAACCAGGACTTACTAAAGGACATTTTGAAATTATCACAGAGTAAACATAACTGATTTTTATTGTGATTTTCATGATTGGAAAGTGATTGATGATAGTGTAAATGGGACAAGTATCTTGAACTGCTGTTCAGGAGTTAGTTAATTCTTATTTAGCATAGAGTCTCAGTTTTAAAATAGTCTGTATCAACAGGATCTTTCAGCTGTGACTGTAAAATTAGGCTGACATGTATTTTCTTCTCAGTGCTATGTATTGATGTTGAGCTTTAGTTTGGTTGGTTTACATTCTCATGCGTAGAACTGATCATATTTGCTTCCTAAAGTGGTAGCACTGAAAATGTGAATGAGCCTGGCTTTAAGTGACTCTCAACCCCAGCAGCAGAATTAAACCAAGTACCTAAAATACACAATTGAGAACCTCTGATTGGGTTTTAAAGTTGGGTCACTTCTTTTACCAGCTGCTGCATTTAGTAGCAATTAATTGCAGGAAGGCTTTTGAAGTCTGTGAGGTGATGTAATTTAAAAAACCCTCAAACATCTTTATTCTCAGTCCTAGGCCTCTGAAGCAAAGTGTCAGACTTTATGTGGTTCATTTTGATGTTGTGGTGATTTATAAAGTCACAGCTGTTGGCATAATCAGCTTACATAAGGATGTCCACTTTCAACCAGTCTTCATTTTTTCTCTGAGTTAGTTAATATGGTAGAGTGAAAAGTGTGAAAAGATGAATCAAAAAGTAAGAAGCCTAAAAAAAGGATATGTAGATGGATATAATGTAGATATGCTATCTAAAAGACTCTAGCTCGTAAACTGACCTCATGAATTTGAGAAGCTCAATGATTTTTGAGTGCTCTGGTTTTACAGCCAACATGCCAACACCTCATTAGGTGCTGAAATATTTAATACTTTTGTTATGGATAGCTTCTACACATTTGCATGAAGAAAATACTGAAGTGTTTTGTTTAAGTAAGAGTATTCTGGATATGCTGTGGAAAAAAATTCATTTTGCTCACCAGTGCTAGAAGAGTTTTAAATTAAGTTCTAAACTCCTGTGGAATTAAATGCTAAAGAGCTATTAAAAATTAAGGGCAGTCAAAAGCTGCAGGAAGTATTTCTAATGCTTGAAAGTGAGCGTTTTGAGTAGTTAGAGTAAATGCATTTCATTTCTGAGCAGCCTAATTTATGGAAGTTCTGCCTCCATTTGTACAGGATTACAAACAGAGTGAATTACTGAGTGACCAGAGTGCAGCTGGTGGGGAAAGCTCAGAGAGTATAGCCCTGATCCGTTAAACAAACTGGATTGTTGTCATTTCAAAGGATTCAAAATGAAAAACATTTAAAAAATAAATTGCATGCCTTAAAAGAATGCAGGGAAGGAGATTTAAATGGAAGTAAAATGTTAATGCTATGAAGAAGCAATGGGTTGTACCATACCAATAATACAACGTGATAGGTGGTGATATTACGATAGAGAATTTTGCTAATCTATTTTAAGAAAAACAAAAGCAGATTTACAAACAATGAGAAATATCTCTTGGTTCACTATGAACCTGCTCCTTTTACACTTTTTAAGTGAAGGGTAGTTCTGACTTACTTAGAATGTTGTGCATGTCAGTTTATCTCCTCTATCATAGCTTCACACTGTTTTCACTGGAAGTGAAAAGTTGCATTGGAAGTGTCTTCCACTTACTTAAGTGTGTAGAGAGGTATTATGTAGGGTAAATGGAAGTATGAGGGATTAATGTGCTTTTAAATAGACTTGTGAGCAAATAGGCTGATTTAATGTTTATAGAATTCAACCAGAATCCTTCCTTTACCAATGGAAAGGGAATGCATGTTCTGTGTTTGATCTTCTTTCAAATGTGAATATTATTTGAACATTTAGAATTACAGATAGGTTGACTGGAAGGCACTTCTGGTGGTCATCTGGTCAGAGCTCCTGCTTGGAGCAGGACACTAGTTATCACTGGATTAAAGCAGTTCCAGATACAGACCTTTGTGCCTCTTTTAAGTTAATGAGGTTTCTGCTTTCCAGTCCAGCAATTTCTCAGTGCCCCTTTGAAGTGCAGCTCTACTCTTCAGCTATCAACCAGCCCTCTAACTTAGTATCGTACACAGGTTTGCTGATGGTACATCATTTTACATACATGATTCTGTCACATCATTCAAGGTACTGGTGAATTTATTGATCTGTATCAGCCCCAACAGCAACCCCAGGGTGCTCTTACTGTTGCTAGCCAACAACTGAAGCAACTTGAAGCCATCAGGTCTTCAATCCTGCCTGTCCAGATAGTTTCCAACCACTCTAGCAATCCATCTGGCCTCAGCTTACTGTTATGTGTGTGCTACGGGAGGTGGTGCCAGGAGCCACAGATCAATCAAGGTGTGTTGTATCCTGTCCCCTTAGCTGTGATAGGGCTGTTCACATCTATCAGATGTCATATGCCCTTGGTAAATCTGTGTTGAATCTTCCTGATTACTTTCTTAGCTTTCACATGGCTAAGGGGACAAGCTCTGAGCATTTTTCCAGAGACAGAGATGGTGCTGACTGGACACAGGCACTGCTTCTCGCCTCCTTAGAAATGACTGTGTGTTAGTCCTTTTCCAGTCTGTTGAAGACTTTCTGTGATAACTGTTTTTCACAAGCAGTAGGCAGTTGCCTCACAAGCATGTCTGCTGTGTCTCTTAGCAACTTTTAGTGTAACCTGTCTGGCTCTGCATTTGAATACATCCAGCTTCTCTCAGCAGTTGCTGGACCCTCTCATACTTAGCCCTCTCCTTCCCAAACGCTGCTCGTAAAAGCAGAGGTCTGGGTGCAGGCTTTGCCTGTGAAGACTGGGGCAAAAAGGATGTTGAGTCATTCGGCCTTTTCCATATCATCTGTGATATAGGGTTGTCTTCCCCTTCACTGGATGGCCACACATACTTTCATGCTTTTAAAATTCCCTCTCATTACCCTACGTGTCTATGGCTAGTTTTAGCTCCAGCTGAGCTATGGCCTTGCTGATTTAAGGGAAATAGAGTGAAAACAAGGCATGTCAAACTCTGAGTGTTACATTGAGCAAGTATTTATGTAATTTTTTTCAGGAACCAGTGATCCTGGAGACTGCCCAGTCATCATGGCTCATGCTACTGTCCATGTGGGTTGTACTGTTCCTCAGTTACTGAGAAGTGCTAGCAGAATTTTTCCCTCTCATTCTGCACTGGGGGTGTTGAGGCACTCTGCTCTTTGTTACTGCACAGTGAATGGGTAGGTTATCCACTTTCTTCTTTGTTTTTGTTTTTTTTAAAAGAGAATGCCATGGTAACACTGTCAAAATCAAACTGCCAAGTTATTACAGACCTGTAAATACTTACTTAACTCCCAATTATATATTTACATTTAATTCCTATTTAGATTTATGTCATCTGTAATCTGGATTACACTGGTAAATTGTTATGTTAATAGAAATTCATATCAGTAGGGGACAGTAGCACAGCTGTCAAAATGACAATTATCTTTGTTTTCTTTTTGTTGCAGCACAATAAAATCAAAAAGGAAAATGGATCATCTAGAGAGGACAGCAAATAATTTTCGCCAGGAGGTTAGTGTTCTGTTCTTTAGGATGCAAGTGATTTTTTTTTTTTTTTTTTGCTGTGAAGATAATTGCATTAGATAATTGTATTTGATTCTTAGGCTCCATTTTGTCTTCTGCTGGAGTCTGTTTTACTTCTTTCCCTCCTCATTTTTCATACTTGATATTGTTATAAAATTACCATATTTTGTGCTCAGTATATGAACTGTAATGAGTTATAGAAATTGTCAGTGACACGTGATGCTGTTTATGTTGGACAAGAAAGTTAATGAATTCTGGTCAAGTATGGATTATAATAAGTGATGAAAATGCAGGGATACCTGTCATTGTTCACAGGCTTCTCAGATTTTTATGGATTTTTGCAATTCTAGTTCAAATTTGACGTTAAAAAATGTGGGAAATGTCCTTTTATAACACAGGAGGTAAGAAGAAGTGTGTAGACATTTTGAAGGGAGAGATGATAGTTGTAAAAAGGATCTTAGTTTGTATCTATTATAATTCACAGATGTGAGGAAGATAAAGCATTGTTCTCCATCCAAATGCAGAAGTGCTTATTCTGGATCTCAGTTTTGAGCAGTAAGCATTCTTTTTGGAATGTTCAGAGGTGAACATACTCTTGTATTTCATACAGCTATTTCCTTTCTGTAATAAGCTGAAGTAGATGTGTTGAAATTTTTAATGCTGGGAGAATGACTGTGACTTCAGTTCTCAAAAATGTTTGACTAGCGAAACAATTCTGCATTTTTCTCAAGACTTTTCAGGAGACGTTAGGGCACTTTTTGACTGAAAAATCCCATCTTTAATGCCTGGAGCCGGGAAATGGTGCCCAGCTATTCTCCATTGTTTAGTGAGTGTCTCAGTCTGGAGTAGCTATTTGTGGCAGGCCAGTCGTTCATGTGCTGCACAGCAGGGCAAACTGTGTTCTCAGACACACTACGCAGATGCTGGGGGGTGTGTGTACAAAATAAAGTCCTTCTCTGATAGGTTTTTCCCTAACTATAGTTGAGAATAAGTCACACAAGCCAAGCAAACTCTTCCCAAAAGGAAGGTGTGTGGAGGGGAGACACAGGGAACCCCCAGAATAGAAGATTGACCACGTGTGACGTGGACTGGAGATGGATGAGACAAATGCAGCCTCACACTGCCTGTTACCAGAGCTGTCAGGGAGTGAGCCAGCTTTGGGAACTGTGTGTTTCAGAGCTGTGCCTCAGCTGCTCACACCTAATGCCAGCTCTTTCTGGAGTGTGGAGTAGCATTGCTTGTGGACACACAGCTGCTCCGGTGGATCCAGTTTACCCGAGGAAATCAGCGTAGAGACAGGCACAGACAACTGCATGTTCTTGTTTACTTCTGACATGCAAAATATCATTGCACTTTATGGGGTGTTTTTTTATATTGGATATTTCTGATTGCTTGGCTTGATTACTTTTTTCTGCTCAACATAGGTTGCTGGAAAATACATGGAAAATGGATCGTTATGAGGTGTTGGAAGCTCTGGGGTGGTGCAGGGCTCTGTAAGGCCTGAGGAAGAGAAGGAAGCTGTATGGGATAGGTGAAAGAGCAGGGCTCAGTTCTTGCTACTGCACATTCTCTGCATATCAGAGGATTATGCTGTTTCTTTTTTTAATGCTTGATTTATTCTTTGTTACTTTATTTCTGACCACTTTAAACTCAGTTTATTTTAAATTCTCTGCTCGGTTTTAAATTCCATAGAATCAGCTGTTAGCTTCCCTCAGCCAGTATTGCCTTATTTGGCCATTTCAGTCCTGTAAAAGATGAAAGAATCATAAATCTGTGTTGCATTAGTGTGAATGCTACAGAACATTGCCTGTTGAAGAGTGATAATGTGAAGGAGCAGGGCAAGAAAAAGTGCCTAACGCTTTCTTGAAACAGCTGCAAAATCTGGAGTCCTGTGTCCTTCTCCCTCTCACTGCAGCCTTGTTCTGGACGAGTTGTATACTCTTGTGATGGTCCAAAACACTGGCTGAATCTCTTTGATCACCCTGACTCAAATTTAATTTTTGAAATAACTTTATACTAATTAAGAATTAAATTTCCACTGCTCTGTCAGCTCTCTCAGGCAAATAACAAATTCGGGATTGTACTGAAGAGCAAAGAAGGGAATGAAGAAGATCCAAAGTTAATGTCCATTTCCTGCACTTAAGGTTTCTCCATCAGAACAGCCATTTCATTTCAGTCGTGTATCTGACATTTCTCTTGTTAGCTTAGACTGACTGCAATCCTCATTTAATACTGTTTGCCAAAGTTTGCTCCTCTATTTTGAATTAGCAAATGTCCTGCTGTTTAATGGGACAGGGGACATGTTAAGCTATTGCTTCATGAATAAATTAATTTCCTGCCATGTGTTTTAAATTACAGCACAGTTGCTTAAAGTTAAAATTTGGTTTTGATCTGTTTGATCTTGCACAAATGAGAAATGGTAGAGTTGTGGTGGCATGAGTGTTTCCTAGTGCGGTAAGTGACATCAGCATTTTTTAACAGAGTAAAATCTGTGTATTGCCCTGTACAGAAAATGTTCAGGGCATTGCTTTCTTAGAGGAAAAAGGTTAGTAAGTTACACTCAAAAATACCTGAAAAGGAAGGACAGGGAGGGGATGATCAAATCCATGTTGTACTGATGGGCACCAAAGAGTTGAAGTGAGGAGCTCATCCCCAGTGGCCCTATTGCAAAATCCGCTTTCTATTTTGCATCTTTTTTTAAAAAAAAAAACACTTTAAAAGTGGTATCAACCACAGCTCTGACATCCACCCCCATATGGTTGCCAAACAAAAGCTCTTCTGTTAACCAGCAATGAAACCTTGTGTCATGGTTTCCCTGTGTTCATAGATCACATGTGGTCAAATGGCTGCGTGTGTATACCCAGTCACACAAGGCTTGTTGGTTCTTTCATTGCTTCATTAATGAATAATCTTTCAGTAATGCATTTAATTACTTAATTAAAACTGGATACAGATAGAGAATTCTCCCTGGGACTTCAGTAGCAGCTGATCTACTTTAAGTTTCCTTTGTCTTTCTATCAGAGACTGTTTTACTTTATTGCTGAAAGGTGCAGGAGTGTGTGCCTTGTACAGAGTCAGAAGCATCTCAAAAGAGATAACTAGCAACTGCTTCTCTTTATAGTTATGTTATCTTCAACTGAAATAAAGTAAATTTGTCTAGAATCTTAGAATAACACTGACAAAAGTGACAGACACGATGGGCTGTAAGCAGAAGAACATTTCTCCATTCAATGACTGTATGAGTGAATCACAGAGTGGTTTGGGTTAGAAGGGACCTTAATGATCATCTAGTTCCAACCCCCCTGCCATGGGCAGGGATGCCATCCAGTAGGCCAGTTTGCTAAGGGCCACATCCAGCCTGGCCTTGAACACTTCCAGGGATGGAATAGTTTTTGTTTCTCAGTGGAAAAAATAGGTAATGAAATGCTGCAGATAACTTGGGAGGTGATAGATACCTCATGCACAGCTTCTTGAGTGCTTTTGCTGCAAGTGATATCTACATATCATAATGGCTTATATTTTCCTTCTGTTAGGTAATTACACAAGCAAAAGTGTGTGGAATCACCAATGAATCGGAGACAGTCAAAAGACTTCGTTTGGCTGTTGCAGACAAGGATTTTACTTTCAAAGCAGGACAGTGGTAAGATCTTTTGGTATTTGAAGGGAGGAAATTGCTAACAGAAATCCTCTATAAGAAGGTATTAAAAGGCCTCTGATCCTTGAGCCTTGGCAAAAAAATCATTAATTTAGATAATACAACATTTTATTATTGGGTGTTCTGTCAAACAGCTGATATTTAGCATAATTTTACAATAGTCATTAAAAATATGCTGATATTAAAAGGACAGAAACGAATAGTCTTTAAATGTTCAGTTTGAATGTTTTGGTGTTTTCCTCTGGTTTATGTATTATTTATTGTTTCTTCAAGAGTGCTTTGAAGTTCACTGCACTTCATTCTGCAAGCTGTCATTGCTGTCTTTATTTGCTAGTTGTTTTTACAGTGGAACTGAGACTGCTGCTTTGCAAGTTACTTAGTTTTGGTTTGTAATTAAATCAGAATTGCCTGTTAACTTTTATTCCTTTCTCTTGATGTTTCCACTCTGAAAATCAAGCCTGTTAGGTCAGATTAATATATCCATACAGATAGGCAAACCTGAAAATAAAAAGCTTGAGTTATTAAGCCTTTGAAACAATTAGCTGCTTGTTTAAGCACTTTTACAGGTTGGGTTTTTGTCCCAAGGAAGTAGTGAATTTTCATGTTTGTCATCTTTGCTTGTTAAAAATACTCTCAGTCACTCTCTTTACTTCTCTTAGAAATTAATTAAAAACTATGAGAAGTTGCTTTTGGCAATGGACATTTAAATGTTCTTAAACTTTTCATTGACTTGGGCCATCTGAAAGTGGTTTTGCTGGAATCAAAGTATAGCTGCCCTGGTATTAACAGCATATGTTACTCATGTCGTGCTAATATGCTGCCTTTTAAATTTAGAAGCAGAACATAAGATGTTGATTGCAATAATTTGTTTGTGAAGTAATTTGCTGCAGTTTTTGCACATGTGCAGTGACTCATATTAAATTCTTTCTTGCCAGTACTTGGAAAGTGCACTTACCCTCCAAAAATGTTTTTGAAATTATCATGCTGAAAACTGAAAGCTTTAATTATAATTACTTTTTTTCATTTTCTTCTTCCTTGAAAGTGTTCTAATGGTACTCTAAGGTATACAACAACTTTTTTGTACTTGTGGTTGCATTTTTTGATGAGCAGTACAAAACACCAGACTCCAACTTCCTGAGCAGAAAAGGCTAACTTGTTAGGATTTGCTGTAATAAGATGTTACAGCCAAAAATTGTCACTAAAATGTTTATGTTTTCTGAAAGTTTTCTAATTATCGAGTTCTTCAGAAACAAAAGTGAATTTGTTTTGCAAGCATATGCTGGCAGGTGTTGGTCTTTATCTGACTTGAAATAATAATGGAGAGACTTGTTGCTGTTACCCATTCTGATTTACTAAAACATGCATTGAGGAATATGTGTGTGATAAATATGAAAAACCACCCTGAGATATCTGGTTTACATCTTTCTGTGCCTCTCCTTCTTGTGGATTTATACATGGGAGTTTTCTTTCTTTTTTTTCCATCAGCTGTTCTTTTCCCTTGAGCTGTCACAGGTAGCATTTCTCCAGAAGCTCTCTTATCCTTCCTAACACAGCTGAGATGAGATGAGCCATCAGAAACACGAGCTAGTCCACTACAATATAGCATTATGTGCCCTGAAATCTCTCGTAATTATGGAATTGGGAAAGAGCTACTAATATAGTAAGAAATGTACATCTGCATTAGTATTTTAGAAAGGTAACAGCTGTATTTGATTTAGGTTTTGTAGTAGTGTTTGGTTTTGTGTGTTTCCCATCAGGCACGGATAAGGTTTCCCTAATATGTCAAACAGAACATTTTGACTTGTTACTTTATAGCATAAATTCTTATTTTTTCTTGTCATTAATGTAAGTCTTAAGATCACTTTCCACCAGAGGGTGGCAAAGAGCTGCAGTAGCATCGTGAGATGTTCGTTGATAGGATAAGTACTGCAATACAGGAGTTGTTCTTTCTAAGCTCTGGGAGCCTTGCTGCCAGGAGAGCTGGGCCCTGTGGGCAGTGGGGCTGCAGAAGCTGAGGACAGTGAAAGAAGAGTTCTCAGATGCCTTTATAAACCATATAAACTGAACTTTATTGGCGTAACATTTAAAATTATATCACTATTGTGTATATCACACATTTTGCATTTTTTGAGAGAAAGAGGTTATGTTTTTCTTTGTAGGGTGAAGCTTTGTGGGGAGTAAGTCAGCAAGATTTTTTTTTTTTTAAAGTCATTGACTATTCAAAGTGTTTCTCTCTCCCCTCAAGCATTTGTGATCTCCATGGAGAATACAGCCATGATGGTTAAAGTAAATACCTGTGCAGTGGGAGCCAGTCTGTATTTCTTGTTGCAGTTCTCGTTTAACTCATGCTCAGCCAGTCTAACCCAAGCTTGACTTGAGTAATGATCCTCTAGTACTTTACTTGGCATTACCTATCAGTGTGGTTGTTTCCTAAGGGGAGAAGCACAATTGGTTATAAACATTAGGTTTAGTTGAAAAAACAGAGGCTGTTATGTGCTGTAGCAAACAGAAGTATTTAAGGGTCTATGGAACACAGAGGAGTTAAAATTTTAGATCTTAACCCAACTTCTGATTTTTTTCTGATAATTATTTGGGCTCTCAAAGCCTTGCTTTGATGAGAATGATGTCTAGTTCATGTGTCGTAATGGTTCTGTAATGGCTGGTGCTGCAGAAGCTGCAGAAACCATGTGTGCTTTACTTTTAACTCAGAAAAAAAAGAGTAGGGATTTATTCCAGTTGTTTCCTGCGAACGGGAATGCGATCTGTGCCGCCGGAGGGCGCTGCAGTTCTGCTTCCAGCAACCGATTTCTCACGTGAGAAATTCTTCATCCACTTCTGGTTTGCTCCAGGTATTTCATCTTCCCAGGAAAAGAAAGTGTTTAATCTAAAGTAATTTCCCTAAAATTAGTTTCCCAATCTTCTTATGTTTGAGAATTGAAGAGCCCATGAAAGGGACCAAAAAGAGTGAGATTTAAGCCACTCTGTCAAACCATATTGTGTTTTTCTTGGTGTAATACACAAATAATTTATTTAAAACCCTCAGAGTTCTAGTCTGCTGTAAGATGTGACATCTAATGCTAAAAGTAGACTGGTTTAAAAACCTTCTAGTTTAACAAACATAATGACATGTTCCTAGATGAAAATAATTTGAGTGTTGAATTCAAGATCAGCTCCTTTTTTGGAAAACTTATGTTATGGAAATGAAGATGCTGTAAAAGAAGGGTAACTGAAACAAAAGCAGCCGTATTGTTTTGAGTGTTGTTTTCCATGTTTGGGATTGTTGGCTTCTTTTTTAAATTTTGGTTCTGGTCTGTTTTTAGGGTTGATTTCTTTATTCCTGGAGTATCTATAGTTGGGGGATTCTCAATATGTTCAAGCCCTGGCCTGTTGGAGCGAGAAGGAATACTAGAGCTGGCAGTAAAGCACAATGTTCATCCTCCTGCTCACTGGATTCACACCAAGGTAAATGAAATGCACTATGAGATTGGCTCCCTTTTATTTTTTGGTAGTTTTCTGGGGAGGTGGAGGGAGTGGCGTGTCTGATTTTAGACCACTTTGTGTATTGCCTGCAAAACTCCTGTTTACTTGTTCAACCATTTTTAATACAACCTAAATCATAAAACCATTTATTCAGTAAGGGACTGAAATTGGATGTTTATATGGTAAATATGGTTATTATGAGCTTTTGACTCCATTTGTGCCTACAGCAGACTTAAAGTGATACTGTAGTTAGAGCATATAAGGGTTCTCCTTTGGAGTTAATGAACTTTAAAATGCTGAAAACCCTCTGTTCTAACTTGTAGCCCTGAGAACAGGCAGTGTTGCACATTACAGCTGATTACTTTCCATAATTCCTAGCCATTTCTACAAATATAAACTGGGAATAATTTATAAATCACAGATAGATTATTGAGAGGGGAGCCAAGGGAGATACTTAGGTCAGTTTTTCTGAAATGATAAAAAAACAATACATCAGAATTACTGTAGTATTCTTTTAAATATGCAATATTTTTTAAGACAGACATAAGACTTGGTTTTTTTGCCATATTAGAAGTAAAGTCTGACACTTGGCTTCTTGCAGTGTTTTGTTCATCATTTACCCCATTTAACTGCAGTTAGAGGGATGACATATTTCTTCAGTGATCTGTCCTATCACCTTTTGTTCTTTTCACAGTTTCTGGGGACTCTTTCAGGATTTTTGATGTCGTAAATCAGTTTGTTGTTGCTGAGTTTTCTGGTTGAATTTGTAGGATAAATCTTTAGTTAAGGGGTAAGCTAGGTCAAACCTGATGTGGTGGAGCAACCCCCAGGGCATATATGGACTCTTGTAGCTAACCAGAAGTGCATGCTTTTCCTTGGGAAACAAGCAGAAAATAACTGCAACCTAGGATTTGAAAAGGTTATGTGTATGGTGAAAAAACTGATAGTTAATTGTTTAAAAGTTACTTCTAAAGGAAGTTGATATCTCAGGGTAAAAGACGTTATGGGAATAGTTAGCACTCGTGTACTCACTCTATCTGGTTTTTTCAGAGGTATTTATTACTGTATATAGTACTGTAATATTACTGTATATAAAATCATAAATTTTAGCACCATGTGTTTTATAGCTTTAGGAAAATTTAGCCTTTTCTTTAGATAAACATCCATGTAAAGTATTGATTGCTTCACTTCTCTGCCTGAGCTATGTTTATAAACCAGGCTAAAGGACACCATTTTTTCATCGTATTGCTCCAAAATTTTACTGTTTTATCTCGTAAACTGTCTTAGTGTTATCATTGTCATGGACAAAGCATGGCAATATGTGGGAGACTGCTGGTTAAGAGAGATTATTCCCATCTCCCAGCCTGATGAACTATTACTGGTTAAGGTGGCAGGTCAGATGACAGTGAGATTGTTTCTCCATATAAATGCTTATGTCCTCCAAGGATACCACATTCTGTGTCCTCCTGCTGCCATGTGAATCTGAAACACTTGTGGATTCATCTATCTCTAAACCAGAATAAAACATGGTGGGGAAGCCTGGCAGTGGGTGTGAAAAGGGAGACAAAATCAGTTTCAGATAATGAACTCTGATTGTCTTACACTATAATTGAAAAACAATACTTTATACAATAATTAAGAAAGGCAAGAAAGTTGGGTCACATTTTTTTAAATATTCATTCTTTACTACTTTAGAAAGCTGTGTGTTCTGTGCAGTACCTGTGTCCAAGGGCCTCCTCCTTCCTCCTGGTGCATGTTCAGACCTTTGTTGTCTATGCACTTGTCATTAATGGAACTCTTTTTGTTTCAGTTATTGTTTCCTGATATCAAAAGTACTCTTTGGAGGAAGGGTTTTCATTCTCTAAGCTAAATTTTCAGCAGTTCTTGTGGCTTAACTTGTTTTTCTCTCCTTTCACACCTTGGTTTCTCTGTCCTCTTCATTTTATTTTTTTAAATCTATATTCTGCTCTTGTCCTCCCATGCTGGGACAAATTTTTAAGAAATAATTTCTTATGTGCAAGTGGTCAATAAGTTTTCCCCTGATTTTTCTTCTACTGTGTCTCTGTAGTTGCAAATGCAGAAGTGATTCTACAAGAAATATTCTTGTGGAGACTGCTTCACTTCTGGGTCTTTTTCAGGAATGGGGATGGAAGAACCTTCCCACATCTGTGCAACTCATTCTGACTTCCTTCTGTGACCTTATAGCAAGGCCTTTTTTGACACGAGGCTGGGTTTGGGTACAAGTGTGACCTCGGAAGTTAACCTCAGGTTTGCACAGCCACATATTGCTGTTGGAAAACTCTTGTGTGAATCATTCCTCTTCCAGCACTTATGAGAGTGATAAGGGGTCATCACCATCCTGCCTTACCATAAGACTGAAACTTTTGGAAGTAAAACTAGATCCCTAGAGACCATGTGTTACTTCAGAGAGCTGGAGATTATATTTTAAAGCACTTCTGTTTTCCCCTCACTGGTCAATAAAAATGCAAAATCACAGCCCAGCAAGTCTTGTGCCTGGGCTGCAGGAAGTGTAAGATTTCAACTTTTGCTTTTAGTTTTGAAATTAAATGTCTTCTTTTCTATCCTAGTGTACTCTTGACTCAGAAGTGGCTCTGCGAGTGGGAGGTGATTTCTTCTTTGATCCTCAGCCTGGTGACTCCCCAGTAAACCTAGTGCTGATAGCAGGGGGTGTTGGAATTAACCCATTGTTTTCTATACTGCTGCATATAGCAGATCTTCATGCATACCATGAAGAAGGTAAAGGAAAAGGACACAAAATTTTAACAGCGAAGCTGTACTACAGTGCAAAAAATACAACTGAGCTCTTATTTAAGGTAAATAAAAAGTGGTTTTTTTAACATAGATCTTAGCTATTCAGCTACTAGTGTGGATATCAATCTGTTGCCAAATTCCAGAGAGTCCCTCTGTGTAAGAAACTGTACAAACTAAGACCAAAGTCACTTCCTGCCTCAAATCCCTTGTGTGTGTTGTTTGTACACTTATGCCAGTGCACAAATTAAGGCTGTTACTGGACATACCTGGTCTCACTGACTTTGGTGAGAGGTCAGTTACCCCTAAATTTTACTGTAGCCCTGCATTTGACTATAATCTCATAAAAACATCATAGTATACTAAAGATTATATATATGTATATACACACTAATAGCATGCATAATGCCATAATACTATAACCACATAGACTCAGTATAGATTGTATTGAATTTAAAGACTAAAAAGAGCAATTACATCCAGAGGAAATACTTTCTAAAACAACAGGGAAGCTTTATTGATAATGCATTAGTTATTATTGAGCACTAGTGCATGAATGAAGGATTTATAGCTGCTTTTAAAATTGCTTGTGCAGTACTTCATCATTTACTCAGCAGTTAAAGATCAGTTGTCACACTCAGCCATTAAGGGTCATTGGTAACATTTTAGGGTCAAATTAGCACAGCTTCTATAAATAAGTATCTGAAATTATTTAAGTCCCTTCAAAGTACTGAAAGCTTTTCATTTTAAGGTAAAGGTGAAAATCTGTTGTGATTGCAGAAACTTTGTATAGGATCCATCACTAGTTTTTTTTCTGTACTTCTACCGTTTTCCTAGAGCGGAAGTTATTTGCTTTCTTTGAAAAGTTATTTGTTTGTTTGAGAAGCAGAATAATAAGCTGGAGGGTGACATTACTGTCCTGGGTCTGCTACTTGTTCTGGATGTGCTCTCATGTCCCAGGCTGAGGCACTGCTGCTGAGAATCTCCTTAGTGCAAATGGTAGAAGCATACAGTGTTAGAGTTACAAAAGATAGCAAGTCAATAGTAGAGGTACTAGTGGAACAGGGCACAGCAGTGTCAATCTGTGCTGCTCTTCAGTCCATGTCTTTTTAGGGATTCAGGAACAGATTTGTCTACAAAGTAGAATCAGTCAGGGTTTTTTTTGTTGAGTAGCCCATAGTAGACTCTGCAGTGTAGTAACTAGTTAGCAAACAAACAGTTAACAAAATGAGCTAATTTACCTATTCACAGAGTAGAAGTTATTTTTACTTCAGAATATTTGAAAGACTTTCCAGTGTCCATTCCAGCAGTGAAAAATCCCAAATAGTGCAGAATCTGAAGCCTCTGGAGTTTTGGTGGTGACTTAGCACAGCTGTGATTTAGGGAACTGAAAATTACAGTTTCTACTTTCTACTCTGGTAATAAATAACATTAGCATTACACTGTAGCTGGTTTTATTTGGAGAACATGAGAAAATATATGGAAAACCCATGTGGAAGTGGAAGGAGAAAACAGTGAGAATTTATAAGGGGAAGAAATGGGGAAGTGACATTAAGTGGTTCTTAGGCCCACATCTTACAGATGGCAGCCTATCACAGAAAGGGAGGGAAGTCTAACACAGAGCTGTCAGGGTATTCACATTTGAGGTCTGGGAGTTGTGTGCATGTGTGCAGCTCAGCCCTGTGGAAAAGCCCATCAGGTGCTCAGTGCTGAAATGCAAGAGTCTTGTTCTTGGTAGTAATCACTGATGTTCTGGGCCTGTGTGCATACATCTGCTTTGATTTAATGGCCTGTGGTGTGAGCAAGTGTGTTTAATGTTACAGAAAAACATTCTTGGTTTGATGAATGCATTTCCTGGAAAGATCACGTGTTGTTTCCACCTCACCCAACAGCAGTCACAGATCTGTAAAGAGCTTCAGCCACATGTCAGAGGTAAATGTGATGGTGATGTCCAGAGGTGTCATCAAACTTCAACTTTAGATACCATCCTAGAAGATGAAGTTATTATGCATAATTTAGTGTATTTATATTTAAAGGTTCAAAATGAGATGTAATAACCTAAATAATTTCACTGTACGTATTAGGCTTTGCAGAAGAATTTTCCCTTTGCAGTTTTAGCTTTCCTTTGTTAGTTCTAAACTTCATACTGGTATTTCCCACTGCAAACTTTATTCCAGAAACTATTAAACAAAGTATTTACGTGGGATTGATGAAAGATAAGCTGACTGCTTGTAGTGATACTTCATGTTTCTATTTCTGTTGTATTTGTGTTAGAGATATTTAGCTATTTTTTTCATCCAAATGTGGGATTTTTCGCTGTATGTAAGGCATGTACTCCTTCAGTGACTAATGCCCTCTGCATTCCAAGTGGAAGTACTGATCTAAATCCCCAGAAGAGCAAATGGTTTTGGAAGCTTCAAATCTCAATACTTATTATCCTGAAATAGGCCAGGCATTTTTAAGAAATGAGTGCTTGAATAACCAGACATTTCTTTTTGAATTGACTTAATGATTAATATTTCTAATTTCCTACTTTTTTCTTTGTCAGAAGGAAGAATATCTGAAAAGGATCTAGAAAAACATATATCTGACAATACTTTATGGTACATCTGTGGTCCACCTCCAATGACAGAATCTATATCCAAACTGTTATCTAACATGGGTGTGCCTAGAAACTGTGTTTTCTTTGAGAAATGGTGGAAGTGACATCTGCTGAACAGAAGATACATTATTTTCTTCCAGTGCATTTTGATGAGCTAAAATGTACACAAATGGACTGTGAATTATTTGGCAGATTTTACTTCATACATGAAGAGGTCTTTAATTATGACAGTGCTCCTTTAATTTAACTGTGATGCACCTGTAACACAGTGCTGCTGCTTTGAGGGGGAAGAAAGTGATTTTATATTAAAGATATTAACTGTTCTGGTTTTTTGATGGTTTTTGCTTAGTTCTTACAAGTAGCAGCACATTTTCACTTTATACACTTGCTTTGTTAGCCAGCTTTTAAAAGACTTTCAGTGCCTGATTCAGCAGTTGTAGAGAATTAGTTCTGCAGCAATGCCAGGTCCGTTTATAATAAATAATAACTCAGGCCACAACTGCTGAATCTGCTCCGAATGAGTCGACATTCCCTCCCCAGTTCTATATAACACAGCACTGCTCTTCTAGAAGTAAAGCTGCAGTGTTGTGACTTCCTTCTCTTGTTTTTTCTTGTCAAAAGAAACAATTTATGTGGTTTGTTTAAGTAAGTCAGCTGTGTTGACAGTAAAAGACATTTTTTCGTATTCCTGTTCAGCTCTGAGTTAGAAGTGTTGAGTGTAACAATGTTAGGAATCAGCACAGAATCACTCATCTCAACCTGTATCCTGTGCTGCTTGGTGCTGAGTTTGCCCATCCAAGCTTGTGCCTCCATGTGCCATGTCCTCAAAAGCAGCACTACCCAGCCAAGATGGAAAGTCTCCACAGTCCTACTGCAGTACAGAGCTTTAGGGGGACTTCAGAGTACACTGGTTCTGCTTGGACAAAAGTTTCTGGAAAGGTTGCTCTTTCAAGGCATGAGTGTAATGGCTCTAGGTGTAATGGCCAGCACCTGAGCCCTTCCTGCACAAAGCTCTTTGCCCAGCTTGAAGAAAAACAGCATAGAAATTATGAGACTAACAAAAAGCTATAAGGAGTTAATTATCTGCATAGACAGTTCAAGTCCTTAAGTGGCAGAGTCCCATTGTTCATTTGAAGACTTCAATAAGGAACAGTATTAGAAAGACTAAATGAATACTGAATTATGAAAAATGTTAAACAGATAAGGCCTCCTCTTTGTTAGTGGCTCTTTTCTGTGAATTAAGTGTTTTGGACAATAGTCAGCTAGGCAATACAGCAAGTTTCTTGCCATATCAGTGTCTCCCTGCTCTGCCTTAAAGAGAGATTGCAAAGATACTGATACCATCAGCTGTTTCCCAGCCTGCAGCAGTACTGTTAGTGTGAAGCACTTCATTTTTCAAGCATAACTTCCCTGTGGCTGGCTAAAAAAGCCATTTCAGCTTCAGTATACTGAGTTTAGTCTCCAGTTGTGACCATCAGCCTGGTATGTTGTACAGCTTGTAGGATACCTACTGCCACATCCACATGCACCTCATCTTCAAAAAATCCAGTCAGCAGCCCAACTCCAGGCCCCGGCTTTGAGTGCAGCACAGGACTACTACTTTTAATTGTGGCAGAAGTTGACTGAAAACTGAAACAATGCCAGAGCTTCCTGGCCATTGAAGAGGAAAGGCCATACTTACAGAACACATAGAACTTAAGGTAACAGGCTCTGTTTTTCATCAGGAGGTGACTCTGATTAATGGACCTTAAAGAGCTGACCTGTGGGGACAGTACCGTGATGAAGTTTTGCCCGTGAGTTTACACCTTCTGCTGCCTGCAGCATCATGCTCTTCAGTCTGTGCTTCTATTCCGTGCAGCACCACTGCCAGCTGACAGCACTGGCCTCCTGCACAGCCACTGCAGGCCCAGAGGGGATGTCTCATCAGATTCCCTCCTCCTCAAATGAGAGGAAGATTCTTTCTGAGTACCCGTTTCAAGGAATGGTTCCTTGTTTGTTCATTCTAGAATGTAAATAGGACAGCGTGCTTGTCACAGAAAATAACACCAAGGGGGTTTTGTGTTCACAAAGATCACAATTGACATGTCAGAGCTTGATGCTGGAAAGCAGCAGGGTTTTCCTAGAAACATGCAATGCATTGCTATCAGGAAGTACTGGTGCCCTAAAATAAAATCCCCACACTAGACTCCTGCATGTTTTAACAGTTTAATGATAAAAAGCCTTTAAATGTTGTTTTTCTTATGACTTTTAAATCATTAAGTGGATTATAAACTGGTATACCCTATTTTTCCCGTAATGCACAGGCTTTCTGCAGCCCAAATGACATCTCTTTCACAAACCACTCCTCAGACCTGCACCAAAATGTCCATTTAACAAAAGGCATTTCGAAACCCTTTGCTTCTGTAATCATCCTCTTTTCCCTCTAACCTCTTTCTGTCATCCCCTGTTACACTCAGGCTGAGTGCTGTGGGGCAAGGACACATCTCTCTAATTGTATGGGCTCACCCGCTTGAAAAGCAGTATGAGACACACACACTGCACCCAGTGACAGAGGAGAAAAAAATTCCATACCTCCCCACTCCCAGATACCTGTAACCTTTGTTACTGTCAACAAGAAATCCTTCCTTACCTTGTAATAAATGTCACCTCTGAGCCAAGAAGTCAGGGAAGTTGTCGACATCCCCTTCCTCTGTAGCCTTTTCCTGTTGACTTAAGAATCTTTTGGAACTCTCTTCTTTCTACAGTTTCGTGCTCTTGTAGTGAAACATCAGTCTATTCTTGGATCTGACTCCACCATAATTGAAGAGAAAAACCCAAAACAACCCAGGACCATTAACCCATATAAACACATGGTCTACAAATAATTAAATAAATGTGATCTGGGCCTCCACTGGTGGGAACAGAGAGCAGCTCCTGCTGTTCAGCTGTTACAGAGCTGGACAAATAATCTCATCACACTGGCAAATTATAGTGTCATTGTAGAATTACATTTGTGCCATCGGCTAAGGAGTGACTGAACGAGAAAAAGTAGACTGATACTTCTTTTCCACAACAAAACATGAGAGAAAGATGTGTCCATCTGTACATTTATATTTAAACCTTGGGGAGATGGTTTGTGAGTTACCTGGTGTTGCAGCCTTATTACACTGAACGTTTTTCTTCTGCCTGTGACATGTATTTTACCAGTTTGCAATGTGTTCATTTGTGCAATGAGTATGAAGTATTCCTATAGGATTTGCATTAATTGGGTGGAAAAAGAGTGGCTATTCAGTTTTCATTACATTATTTTAGTTGATAGAGTGCTTTTAGAGTGAATAACAGAAAACACTTAAATGGAAAAGCCTTCGTTTCCCCCTTCAGTGTATAGGTAAGGTACTGATTAGAGTCAGCTGCCACATCCAGCACCACAGGCACCTTTCTGCAGATGGAGGCTTTGGCATGGATTCCCTTTTAAAGCCAAAAGCACATCTCCACTAACAGCCTCAGAGACATATGAATTGTTTCTCCAACTCGTCATTCATAAAACACTTAAATGGAAAAGCCTTCGTTTCCCCCTTCAGTGTATAGGTAAGGTACTGATTAGAGTCAGCTGCCACATCCAGCACCACAGGCACCTTTCTGCAGATGGAGGCTTTGGCATGGATTCCCTTTTAAAGCCAAAAGCACATCTCCACTAACAGCCTCAGAGACATATGAATTGTTTCTCCAACTCGTCATTCATAGTTGGTATTGTTTTATTCCTCACACTTCTGAGAAGCGTTTAGCAGCAAGAAATTAGGATCTGCTCTTCTTACGCTCTTCAGTTCTGGGAGGATGGAATTCCTGCATGAAAGGCTGATCGTGCTTCATTTCTGCCCTATAATTGGCTCCCCGAGGCAAACATAAGAGTCACGGCAACTACAAAGCAAAAGCTGTATCCAAATGCAAGGCCCTTCCTCTGCTCACCTCGGCAACAGAGGCTGACAGAGGAGCAAATTAGGGAAAAAAGGGTATACTGTTTTATACTTAGCTTCATTTCCACACCTATGTTAAAGATGCTTTGAGCTATTTCATTTATACTGTTTTCAAGTGCACATATCCAATATTCAAAGACATTATGGAAGATGAAGTGACAGTTCAATCGTTTTGTGCATTTAACCCCTCCTACACTCTACATAAACAGTTTTCATTTCAACAATTTGGACATCCTGCCCATCTTAGGTGTATCCCTCTACTCCTGCCCCCCGCTGTTTGTTGAAATATAAACCCCTCTTTTCCATCCTTCATTTAGTGCAGCTACTCCTCTTTGACATTTCTTCATTTGCCTGAGCTGGATTTTCTCCTTTGAACTCATCCCGTGTAACAATTGTTGGTTCGTTCAGATGACCACTTGCTCCAAACACCAGCACATGAAACTCCTTCTCCCAACAGAGTAGCCTGCGTGCTCCTCCCTCAGGGACAAGCAGCTCTTGGGACTGGTCTACACACCTGAGTTGTGTTGGTCTAACACAAACACACTGATGTTGGAACACACCTATGTGCCGCTTGCGTGTGCTGTCATGTTGCATTGTCACCAGCTGACATAGGTAACACATAGCACAACCCATCAGCTCCTTCCCCAGGCATGCCAGGTATACTCACTGGTGTCTCCTTCCATTACCAGAGAGGCACAGGAAGATTAGTTTGCATCCTTACTGGGAGATTCTACCTAGTTTGAGCGAAAATATAGGTTTGGCTTAAAATGGAGGCTCTCTGTGGGAAGGGAAAGGGCCTGGCTTCTCTCTCCACCTCCTGCTGGGGGTGACCAACCCTGTTGCAGAGCTGGTAGCTCAGTCACTTTGGCTTCTCTGCATGAGCAGCCAGTATGGAGTCGTCCTGTGCCCCCACGAGACAATGGTCAGGGGCTGTACCTCTGCAGTCAAATGCCCATTTCAGCTTCTCCCACAGACAGTCTCTCCACTGTTGGTGTATTTCTTCATATTGGTCAGGTTTTCAGATACAGAAGTTAAGCTCTGGCCCAGCCCTTTCTTTTCTCCCTTCAGGCTTCAAATAAGGTGCTGACTGCTTGATTTCACTTCCTTGGCCACTCTGGTGGTCTTGCTTTTTCAGGCCCAAAATGGCAAAGGCAGCTGAGAGAAAATGCACATAACAGCTGTGGAGCCTTGCTGCTGTACCCCACACCTGCCTTCCTCAGCCCTCATCACAACTGAACCATCTGTCTACAAGGTGATCTCTCTCTTTCCTTGAAATGGGGGCACAGTGAAAGCACGCACACAACGCCAGACAACTGAACCAACTCAGAGTAATTCAAAGTCACAAGTTGGAATTGATTATATGAATACAAAACAAAACCATTTGCCCTTTTGAAACTGAAAAAACATGCAAGTTCTCTTTGGCTCTTCCCAAATCTAAGCTGCTCCATTATTTACAAAAGGAACAAAGTTTTGAATCAAACTTTCACTTAAACAAATGCAACTTTCTCAGAGGCCCTTCCATGCTCTGCCAGGCTGGGAAAGGAAAACCAAGTAGCCAGTTCTCTAGCACCATTAACTAGTGTTAATGCAGTAGTAAGGAGCTTCCCCTCATCGCCACTTAGAGACCCCAAGTTTCTCCCTTTGGGAACAAATTATTGGCAGTTGTGCAAGCACCACAAATAAGGAATCTCCTCATGACCTTTATTTCTCTTCAGTTTTGTAAAGCAGTTGGGATCCAGATAAACAAGGTCAAATTGCAATCCAACAAACGTTTTCTATTCAAAAGCATTTGGAGAGGTCTTTCTACTGCAACACTTTCTACTAGCAAAACGTTCATTAAATCTAGTGACTTTTTAAACAAGATTAATACAAAGCTAGTCCTTGAAATAGAAACCATCAGTAGAAGGATCTTATGCTAATAAAATCTGCAAACAGGTACTTAAAACTGTACAGAGCAGAAACCTTGCATTTAAGCAGAACAACTGAAACAACCTATTTTTGAGGGTATTGGAACCCCAGCCTTATCTCAAGATACAGAATGAAATCATTGAGAAATACCACCAGAAACTGAAGTTACTTACAGTCCTGTGGTTAAACCACTGAATTCCAAATAAAAAACTCTTCAGTCAATGACAAAAATACCACTGTGCTTTGTGTGTGTGAAATCAAATGGTTTAAACTTGAGTGCCTTTGTCCCAATTAGATGAATATTCAAAGTGGTGTCATTTTCCCCTTCTCTGCAATGTTCTGCCAACTGTGTAATTTTTAGGCATAGAATATGCTTTTGAACCATTCTAGGTGCACATTTGATACAGAGTATAGTTCTGCGTACAGCATTTTCATTTGAAGACTAAGGAAAATTATCAGGCACAAATCAGTCAAGGGAAAAAAAACCCCAGCAAATCACTTACAGAGCTCTTGTTTTAAAACAAGAAAAGCAGGGGAATTTACAATGTATTTCTCACCTCTTTACCAGGTTACTTGACCACTTCTAAAAAAAGGATGAAGGTGGTTAAGAAGAGATAAACCACTCCTTCCTACGTTTTAAAAAATACTGAAGTACTTGAAGAACATTGGCACAGAAACTATATTACATGTACATTCACTTGTAAATATTTTTATGTAGCTTCAAACACAAAAATGTTGGTAGTTTTACAGAATTCCATTAGCTATCAGTCCCAAAATATCGTTACTTGTATTTAAAAAAACACCCTACTAAGGTGTTTGCATTTTTAAGGTCATTTAGTGACATTTGTTGGCCACTGACCCCTGCATACGATTTCAGTTCTTTCCCACAAGGTATTTCGTAACGGTGAGAAAGTGGTGCAAAACCACCTGGAAAAGGTCAGGAGGTAACATCTCATTCCAATTTCAGTGAGGATAACCACTGACAGAAGTGCTTTTTACCTGCTTTTTTGTTTCCTGTTTTTCTATCTTCTGAAGCCTCAACAACTACTGATGAACTGGTGATTGGCAGTGAGCAAATAGGAAATTGCATTTGATATTGGAATCACCTGTCTCACACAAATTTCCCATGGAGTTTGCTTATCCAGTGTGCCTGAAATAGGCACATGATTTGCTTGTTGCTTAAAGATTTGCAAGGGTTAATAATATTCAGAAGACAGTATCATCAGCAAGTATGCTACTGGAGATAAATATGGGTAACAGCCATCTTATCTAAGCTTTCCAACTTCAGGCTGTTTAAGTCCAAATACCACTTTCATGACACTACAAGCCTAATGACAAAATAACATATGGCACAATAACTTCTCCAGAAAAGCTACATGGACAAGAAAGTACTAGAGAGTAAAATCTGACCAATTGGATTGTTTGATTCCTGACCCAGACTCAAAGCTTGTTTGCTAAGGTCGGTCACAGAAAAAAGTGAGCATGTTTTCAGTCCATCCCTACTTTTTAATTTAAAGGTTAGCTCTAGGAGAGCATTTCCCACTATGTACAGTGGAAGGAATTTTGCAGTTTCTCTGGGTTAAAAACTCTGGGCCCTGTAGTTACTTAAAACATCAAGATAACAGTGTGCTAGAGGAGCAAAGTAAGTACAATGCCAAAGAAATGCCGAGTTGAGCAATGGAGTTAGCGATGGGGATTATCAAAATCTGTTCTTTTGTCTTGGCAAAGTATCAGCAACTCACAGGATTCCTGAAACATGTTATTCACAGGCGCAGTCCACGTCCAGCCCTGCCCCATCGCTGCCATCGCAGCCGTCCGACACTGGCACAGAGTCTCCTCCCTCTGTTGCCTGATCCACATCACAGCCAGGTGTACTCTGGCTGTGGCAGAACTGCCCAGCATTGTCATCCACATCACAACTGGCAGGACATGTTTCTTCTGATGCTCTGTTGTGATGGGTACCTGTGTCGTTGGTCCCAGCTACCTGGTCTCCCAAGTCTATGACATCATCCAGCTGCTGCTCTGGATCAGGCTTGGCTGCTGTTGAGATTTGTGCTTCCAAGTTTCTCGTGTTCTCTGTGACTTCAAATTCCTGCTTTTCCTCTGCCCTTTGCTTCTCCCTTGTACTTAATTTAGCTTTTGTGGAATTCTTTATTTTCCTGTTGTGCATGTCTTCTTTGGAGAATCTCCAGTGAAACTACAAAGAAGGGATCAAAATGTAAAAGACCATTAGAGACAATCTCACATGGACATTTACTTTCCTGAGTAGAAATGTTTTTATTACTTCATTTTAATTCAGAACTGTTTCTACTATTATTAAAAAAAGAAAGGAACTAGCAGTACTTTAAAACACTGACTTGACAGGTATAACACATATAAAGGCTGACAAATATGCCACTATTACATCTGCTTCATTTGTCAAAAAATAAATTAACCTTCCCAAGGAAAGCCAGACCATAGAGTCATAGAGTACTTTGGGTTGGAAGGGACCTTAAATATCATCTTGTTCCAGCTCCCCTGCAATGGGCAGGGACACCTTCCACTAGACCAGGTTGCTCAAAGCCCATCCAACCTTGAACACTTCCAGGGATGGAGCATCCACAACTTCTCTGGGCAGCTTCTTCCAATGCCTCAGCACACTCACAATAAAGAACTTCCTAACATCTAATCTACACCTACTGTCTTTTAGTTTGAAGCCACTCCCCCTTGTTTTACTGCTACAGTTCCTGATGAAGAGTCCCTCTCCAACTTCCTTGTAGGCCCCTTCAGATACTGGAAGGCTGCTATATGGTCTCCATGCAACCTTCTCCAGGCTGAACAGCCCCAACTTTGTCAGCCTTTCTTGATAGGGGAGGTGCTCTAGTCCCCTTATCAACTTTGTGGCCTTCCTCCAAACTTATGCCACAGTTCCAAGCGACTCCTGAGCCATCCTATACAAGTTTGCTAAGTACATTTGAATGTGCACAACCATTTTGTCAGTAGTGTCCATGCTGATGGAAACTCAGGGATGGGTTAGCAGCCAATGTTTGGATGGTATAAATAATCTCATCATGACAGCAAATTCAGCGATTCTCCAAAAGCCATTCTCCAGTGCAACCAGGTCTGTGCTGATGTTGGCCGAAAGATCTTGTGTTAATAAATTTTTGATCTACTTATTTATTCCCTGATCAGAAAGCCATTCAAAACCTATTAAGTTTATTAGATTACAAAGATGGAGCAAGGCTCTTTGCTAGCCAGAACTTAATTTAAAAATAAAAGCAGAAAAAAGAAACTGGCTTTCATAAGATTCTTCTTGGTTTTACTTAGAGGAAGTTATCTTTCACTTCAATAGCCCTGCAATTTAGAAAAAGAGGAACGATAGCATCTCAGTTCTAGAGCTCAACTGTTTAAAATTCAGACACCTGAATTTTTAGCTCTTTGATTTGCAGAAGTGTTGGGCACCCACAGTTCTCCTTAACCCAAAGCTCTCTTTGATGGAAAGTTAAGATCAGGACCCTAAACATGATAAAGATCAAAACGTAGGAGACTCGTGGGTTTGTGCAGATGTATGTGTACTCAGTCAGGTATTTATATTGTATTTCACAAAAATGCATACAACCAATTTCTGCTGAAATAAGCATCAATTTTGTATAAAGTGAATGAACATGATTGCCTCATCATTGACTGAATATTGCACTAATAAGAGTACTTCTGACTTACTGAAGAGAGAACTAAGTTGCACCACTCCTTGTGTGCTTCCTTTTCTGTTCCTCTGGCTACCCTGAACAGCAGTTGATTGGTGTGCAAAGATAGGACAGATCATTTTCCAACAATGCAATATCCTTTTCATCTTATCAGCCTATTTCCTCCCTCCAAGGAGTTATCTATAAACATTTTAAACATGCTATATCTCAAGTTAAAAAAACCCTGAGAACCTGTGACATATGTGCATTATATTCAGCAACTTAATCAAATGCCAGGTTTGACATCTTTGATGTGACTCACAACAACCACTTACAGACGCTGAACCAGTCTTACAGCTCTTTACATAACTATAATCAAGGTACATCATTTTTCCTTGACCTTTGGTATGAAAATGTGCTGTAGTGATTCTTGCCCTCAGATATGCCTGTAAATTTAATACTGCCAATGAGTAAGCCCTTTGTTTGGTCAACCAGACATTGTTAAGTAAGTTTTTATAACCCAGAATGAAAAAAACCTAAACAAAGTTTTGAGTCATCTGGATGGTATGTGTATGTTATTATAATACAAGAAATCAGCATCATACTGCTTTCTCTATTTGAAGATTCACAACCACATATGGGTTCCACTAAAACCACGCACACTGGTAGGGAAAAAATGACCAAATACAGGCATTCTAATGCTCATCCCAAGATCCCTTTAATCACCTGAAAACAAAGAGAAAAAACAAGAAAGATGGGCTTTGTAACATGTTCACACAATATTCTGGGCTCCAGCTTCGCTAATGAGAGAGGGTAAATCCTAAATCACAGTCATGCTCCCAGCAATTCTCTCCTACTGCTGTCAGTTCAAACACTCTCCTGGTCTGCAATGTATCAAAAAGACAACTTTCACAGACCCAAGCTCCAGAACAGCAAGGACTTTATAGATAAAACTATCTGTAATTATCTAAAATGTTGGGTAAAATGCTCCTAGTGCTCAGCTCTGCTCAGTGTTTCCAATCTCCTACCCCAGCTCATCTCTGCAGGGCCTCAAGTGCCCCAGTACTGCAGGTGACATGGGACTGGCCAGCACTCACCTAAGCACACAGACCCAGAATAAAAACAAGGCTGCATTAATCAGCAACCTTATCAACACGTGCTTTCAGAGATCTTCATCTGGCATTTCTGATCCTTTGCATACTGAAAGGGCAAGGCAAATTTGAGTCCTGCAGGAAGGTCTGCACTTTCCCAGCTTCCAGTCTTTGTATTTCTCTTTCAGCTGTGTGGCATGACAGGTTTGGGCAGGGGTTCCCACAGCTACACATTCAAAAATGGAAATGGAAATACATATGTGTATCCACACACATACATCATTAGCTGTTGGCTATGATCTCAAATAATTTAGCTGGATTCAGGAGGCTTTTTTTGGATAAATTGTAGCAGAATTCATTAACATTCACACAATAGATAGAAACACTGGCCAAGATCAGGCCTACATTGTCCTAGGCTCTACCAAAACAGAGGGGGAGAGAGAGAAGAGGGAGAGAGGGAGAAAGAGAGAGAGAGATTGAGAGAGAAGAGAGAGAACAATTTAAACAGAAAATACAGAAAAGACAGGCAGTGGGTAAGGGAAAATAGTATTGATTCCACCTTGTGGAACATGGACAGAGAATTTTAGGTCATATATGGAGGTTTATGGCTGGTTTACATGAAGAGAAATCTACATCTCTTTTGCTGCTGTGAGTTCAACAGAGGATGAAATCTAAAAGCTTTCACATCATTTGAGCGTTTCTGTTTCTTTCATCTGAACAGTTCAATTCCTTGTGCCTTGCTACTGTATCACAGAAACACTGAATAGGCCATTTTTACTTCTATGGTAAATCAATTACAAAATAAAAATAGCGCAAACAAAACCCAAAGAAACCAGAAACTCAAGGTTATTTACCTTAGATTCTTTCTTCTTTGCTTTCTGGGGCAAAGAAGGTCTCTGAAGAAATACAATTTGCTTTGTTGATAAATTCCCCTCCCTGAAAAGAAACAAATGCACACTCCTGAGAATGAATTAAATTCACATCCAGCATCATTCAAAGTGAAAATCCATCTCAGTCATTTATTTCTGCAGGTCAAAGAAGAACAAAATGAAGAATGATCCGCACATTGCCTGTCCCCATTGTCTTTGAGCAGCCTGGTATTTTGGGAGGAAGGGGAGGGAAGTGTTCAGCCTGATAGAGCCTGTCAGCCTGTGACACAGTTTTGCTGAATGTTTTAGCATTAGTGTGTAAACACAGAATAAATTGTTTGGAACAAAAGGGAAGAAACCCAAGTGCTCAGGTGCCTGTGTGTCTCAGCAACAGCAGAGTGCTCCCTCCTTCCCTCCTTTGCTTTCTCCCTCCCTTTCTCCTTCCCTCTCTCCCTCCCAGGGCACTGATCGGGAATGGGGCTAGGTGCTCTGTACAGCTCTGCAGCACAGCAGGAGGCACAACCAAATGAGGTTTGATTAGGTGGGTGTCTTTCTGCACTGTCAACCTGACCTGTGTTACTGAAGGTATTAGTAGGATACAGAAACCTAGAAGAGAAAGAAAATTATATATATATATATATCTTTAAGACACAGGCTGACAAATCCTCATTGTGATTTTCTATTCATTCCTATATTTAAACATGTATGAAAAACTTAAATACTGTTTTTCCCCCAGCACAGATGGCCTTACTTTTTAGGTTTTTTATGTGTAGGAGTAGTCTTCATCTAGATCTCATAAAGAGCTGGGCATATTTTCACTCTTCTAAGATAAAAAATTGTGACTGATTATATTGGTATATATATATGTATGTGAAAATATATTTCTGACCAGAGAAAATTCAGAAAGCACCATCTTCATGATTAACAAGTGGGATGATTGCTTTTTTGCCAGTTACGAAGAGTATTTTTAAGTCACTTGCATTTATATATAAAAACTCAGAATATTAATAATAACAAACTAGACCACAGAGTTATTATATTCATACACAAGGCTATTAGAGCAATGATGCACCAGTCTCACATAGTTCTGCTTAGATAGATTGTTAGGAGCAGCATTAGACAGACACCTATTAAGCATAAAATATTTTTTGTCTCAGATAGACAACATACAATCTTCAAATTTTAGGGACTGGAATAGTCCTTACAGACCATCTAGTCCCAACCCCCTGCCATGGGCAGGGACACCTCCCCACTAGACCAGGTTGCTCAAGGCTTCATCCAACCTGGCTTTGAACACTGCCAGGGTTGGGGCAGACACAGCCTCCCTGGGCAACCTGTGCCAGTGTCTCACCACCCTTACAGGAAAAAACATTTTCCTAATATCTAACCTAAACTTCCCCTCTTTCAATTTGTGCCCATCTCACTCCAAACATTGTCACACATTTTGTCACAATGTCATTTGTCACAATGCTCTAAGAGGCATTACTGGAAGATCCAGAGCAGGAATTTTATAATCAAGGACTTTACAGAGAGGCAGAAACATTACCCAGACAATTTATGCAGTAACCACACTGCCACCTTGCAGTATTTTGCCCACCAGACACGTGTTTCCTGCCACATGTGGCTTGTGATGCTCGGAAAACCTCGAGAACAGCTGCAGCCAGGTTTGCAAGGAAATCCACACTAACTGCACAGGGATTTCTTGTACAGACTGTGGTGCTCATCCAGCAACTTCCCTAGCCAAAAGGCAGCTCCCACCCCCTCCCTACCTGTTTGTCTTCACAATGGGAGTAGGAAGCACACACGTCAGCTGCCAGCCGTACATGGCAAGGGAATTCAGCAGCGGAATGTAATCTGTCTGCACTTCAGCTCCCTGGGGAAGGAAAATCAACAGTTAGCATCATCACTTGGAGTGCGACGTTCAGTCTGACACCAAAAAAAACCCAAGCAAAAATACGTGTGTGGGTTTTCTTGGAGGGAGAAAGGCTTTTTGTACTGAATGGGGTCATTTTCTATGTACAGCTAGGCAGGAAGGGAAACGTTCAAAGCCATGAGACACAAGACTGATCGCCCATACATCCCAAACTGTTAAATGAGTTTGTTTAAAATGGTAAACATCTGTGATCTTGTTTTCACACTGCCTGAGTCATCTGTCTAGCTTTAGATGATTCCAGATCTGAACAGGACAAATTCATTGTATGTTATCAATTATCTCCTCCCAAGCATAAAGATGTTCAAGTAGTTTAAAAAATCACAACAATATTTCACTCGGTTTCTGCTCTCGTTGAGACTACAGTAAATCCTGGACATCTATACTGAAATCAGCTGGGTTTCTCTGTGATAGATCAAAAGCAAAACAGCCAACAACAACGACAAAAAATGTAAGTACAGGTCTATTCCTTTTATCACCCACAAATATGCATTGCTGCCTTCTTATTTCAAATCAGGAAATCTGTGGGCGAGACCAAAAGCATTGCCTTTCAGCACAGAAGTCTGGCTCCTGCTGCACACCTACCCAGCAGAGCCTTGCTAATTCTCTTTTTAAAAGACTAAATGGAGACCCTGCAATTCACACAGAAAGAACCACTGTGGTTTCCAGAAAGATTGCTCCAGTGAGGTGTCTAATTGCCAAGACTTCCAGTAACTTAAGAAATAGATGCTAGAGCATATTTACTAGCTTTTAATTTTAATAAACATAAAGCAGACAAATGGTAACTACGAGTCCCTCCAAATATCGCTAAATTCCATTGGAATACCAATTGTATTTGCCAAAAAGCTCAGGCACTTAAACTGGTTTTATGTGCAGAAGGAGTTCTAACTGCCAGTTCTCAACACTGGGGAAGGCACAATAGTTTTGCAGCTCCAAAGAATCAATTTATTCTGCAGTAATGAAATAGTCATTTGATCAGAACTAATCCAAATTCTGCTGTAGTTATTCAAGGTATTTTAGTGAATTCCAGTCTCAGCTATTCCTTTCTTCTAACAAATGTAATTTAGGTCACTTGATATCTTTATGAGTGAATGACTGCCTGACTATACCTATTAAAAACCTGATCATGACTACAAATGCAAATAGCTGAAGAAGCTGTATCGCTCCTGCTTAGAAGGAGAATGTTTAAAATCTCTAGCTCAGAAAGTGCATGCCAAAGAACAATACTAATGTCACTCCGGATCTCTGTACAGAGGCTTTTAGGGACTTACAGAGATACTGCTACTTTACAACATCTCCATGTACAGACTGGAATTTCTAACTCCAGGCAAGGAAAGAGACACCTTGCAAGAGGGGAGTAACATTTCATGGCCCTTAACACATGTCCTCTGAAGCAACCAGGGCTCATCCTGTAGCTGTGATCATGGTAAATTCCGAGTCTCCTCTGCCTCCCATTTCCCTCCATAAGATAGATTTTTCTGCCCTCTTTCCAGTTTTTAAAATAGAGTGCCCAAAGGTAATGCAAAAAAAATGACCTATCTAGATATCTTCAAGAGCTAATATCTCACAAAACCACATTAATAACACACCAAGATTCACAAGATTGGTAAACAATGCCTTCAAAAAATAAAGATGAAAATATGCAACATGATCATTAAGAATAAGGTCAGAGCATCTACCATTGCAAGCCTGCCATGAGGTGCCAGGAAGAACACATAAAATGACCTGACTAAAACATTTCCTCCATCAAACAGTGTTTGTAGAGGAAAAATCAGAAGGAGCTCAGTCATTTGGAGGGTGGAAGACTGGCACAGAAGACCTTGTTTATGCCTCAAGCAACATCTTATGTTGAAAAGAAGATTTCTATTTTGAATTCATTGCCTAAGGTTGGTGATTAGCAAGGAGAACCTTCTCCTTGCATCAGGATGTGCAACAAATGTCAAAAATCAGAGGGAGATTATGGCAATGAGGAAGGACATCAATACCACGCAGAGCTCATTTGGCTGCTGTAGAAGCCAAATTGTTTCAGGGATGTGCCATCACTCCTGCCACAGCTCACTGTCCCTGAAGGCTCTGAGCAGGGAGACAAGACTGGCTTTGGACCTGTCTGACTTGCCAGGATTAAGCATCATCTGCAGCAGATGATGGTGTATTGCACAATCCAGTGATGCAGAAAGGAAATGAGCAGGTAAACACATTCGAAAGGGTAAAGTTATCTGAAAATAAAATTAAGGTTAAAATAAAGTCAATTAGGCTTTTAAATCTGGAAATGTAAAAAACCCCACTATTGAAAGAGTCCTGTACAGTTGTTGCAAAAAGATGACCCCCTACTTTTGCCATGTGCTGGCACCTAACACCACAATGTTTGTCAGGCTGTTTGGAGGAAGCAAGCACATACATTATGCAGAGGTGTACACCTTCTCTGAGCTCCACATGTCCTTTAACAAGCTCTCTCCAACTCTGCACGATGCTTCGCTGGAGTCACCGCACCTCTTCCCGAGGGAATAAACTACTGCTAGTAATTGGCTGAGTTTGAAGATGATAGACAAGAGAAAGGAGTCACTCCAGAATAAGCAAGTGTAATCCACATGGGCTTCAAGCTCCTTACTTGCAAATACAGATAATTGAAGCTTTCTTTAAGACCACAAGAAATGACTTCTCCCTCCCCCTCCTGAATCATTGGCTGTAATCCTATCCCAGGACTGGAATTTGTGTGCCAGCAGGAGTCACGGTTACACAGACCTTTAATTGATGTCATATTAAATGCTTTCCAAAGGAAAAAATGCCCCTAAACAAACAATACACTGGGGGACGGGTCCAGAGGAAAAGATTGATCTTTGACTCCATCTTGTATTCGTTTTATATTTAATACAGCAATTATTTTATCTACTATTACTTGAGACAATGGAGATAAAATTTCAGACATAGTGTTCCATCAAATGAAAGTGCAATGCTCTTTCTAGCTAAGAAATACTGGATTTGAGCACCAGCAGAAGTATAAAAAAATGTGCCAGAGCTCTACTGAAAAAGAAGTGCTCAAATAATGTGTCTCAAACTGGGAGACATTTCATTCACTGAAAGGGTGGAAAATTTTAATTAACTTGCTTCCCACTCTCCTGTGGATGATAAGTAATCTCTGATCACACCTTGAGTGTCAAGAAGCCAGAGCATATCGAGCTAGGTTTTTCCCTTGACTTGCTTCACATGAAAAGAAATCATTTTATTTGTAGTGGTATTGTTTGTTTTCAGCATTTTTTCCTTTCACAGTTGCTTCTGCTCATTAGGAAAAACAAAAGCTTAAAAAAAATGATAACAATAATATCTAGGGCAAGCCACACAAACAACTGCATTAACAATTTTTCTTTTCTTTTTTCCCCCCCTACTGTGGCAATTTTAACCACAGCAAGAAAATAAACAAGACGACTACTAAGCTCTTGTGAGACAGAAGTTCTTTAGAAATCGTTCTTTCCTGGGCTAAGTGAATGTGATTTAGTTCCAAGGCAGCTATGGATTGTCACTATTTAATAATTTTTTCCAACATGGATTAAAGAGTGGAAGATTGAAAATCCCATTAAATAAATCTTAATAAAACCTTTATCAGCAAATCCTAACAGACTGCATACTAAGATCTACAGACAGATGGCAAAGAGGATGGGAAGTAAAAAACACAAGTTGCTTTGAAAGTGTAACTCACTGTTTGTTGCAGAAAATGGGCACTATGTTCAAACCCAGCTCCTTACAGAAACCAGAGGGAAGAGCCCACGAGGGCAGCAATGTGCACCCCCAGCCAAGGTTGGTTACCTGTCCCCACCACTGCCAAAGCTAAAGCTTTTCTGTCCTGGGGCACTGAAGGGAGGAAGTGGCAAAGGCAGGACTTGCACCTTAGTGGCAAAGAAAAAAATAAAATGAGAGAAATTGAATATATGGGCTGTGCAAGAATGACCCCGTAAAAGTGTGCTGCAAATGTTTTATGTTTGCAGTAACACAGCTGACAGGGAGACTAAATTCAAGCTCTAAATTTGTGAATTATTTGCCTTTTTCCTTTTCAGACATCTTCCAAAAAGCAATTTCTGCTAACAATGTAACATTATTGAACCATTAAAAACATTTATTGGAAGCAAAAGAGAAGTTTCACGAATGTTTCAGCAATAAAAGTTGGACTATGCTCCTCTAGTATTGAGCTGCTCCTAAATTTCCATGTGTAATACACCACAGCACCTTGCTAGCAGACACTTGCTAGACATCCATCAGCTGTAGAGCAGAGGGGTGTGGGATTGCTCCTGCACCCTTAGAAACCACCCATGGCTTTTGGCAGCAGATGGGACCCTGACCAACACAGTAGCTGCCAAATGGAGACCTTAGTGGAAAGGTAATAGAGAAAAAAAGTCGTAAATAAATCCACAAACAGGCTTTTTGCTCAATATTCTGGGCGTATGTAATTTAGAGTTATTTATGATTACTTAATTGCAGTGAATTCCTGCACTGTGAAATATTTTTAAGAACATAATAAGGCTGTAGCACTATATGGGGCAGCATCCTGTTAAGGCTGTTAAGGCAGTTTTTTCCGTGATTCAGATGTGTTCAGCCACAATTTCAATACACACACAGGCTGCTGAGTAGCACTCACAGCTGTCTCCACTTCTAGGGTAAAATTAAACAATAGCAACAAACTCTTCTATGCCCACAAAGCTCACTTCAATCACTTTTGTGGATGCAAATCCTACTTTCTAGCATATATATAAGCTAACAAGAACATCTGAGTGCTCCTCACCAGCAACTGCAACACAGAAGTACCTTTGTCCAGCAACACAATTTTACATAGATAGGAGTACAGGGTCAGTACCTGCACAAGGTGAAGGTGTTGACATGGAGAGTTCTCCACAAAGGAAACGTGGAAGCATATTATGAAATGTGTTAAACTCACCATTGCACAGGCAAAGTAC